CAAAGGGAAAATTATCTCAGGAGGAAAGTTGAAGATGTATTTTATAAAGAAGAAAAATGGCAAATACACGGGAAATACTAAATGAGTCTTAAATGTCTAAAATAATAACAGTGGTTTATTGGGTAGAAAGTGTATTTAGAATAAAAAACAAGTCCATGATGGAATTTATATAAATTGAAGTGAGGATAAATTGCAAGAAAGTGATTTAAGGACTTTTATTGTCAGGTAAAAGTGTAAAAGTACCAATTAGTGTTATATTTCCATGTCAAGAATGCATGCAGACTGCAACTCTCATACATTACTGCTAAGGATGTTAAATGACACAGCCACTTTGGAAAACAGTTTGACAGTCTCCTATGAAGTTAAGCATATGCTTACCATATAACCTTGTAATTCCATCCCTAGATACTTATCAAGAGAAAGGAAAGCATATGCTCTCGCAAAGCCTTGTATGTAAATCGTCACAGCAGCTTTAGTCATAATACGAACGCTGGAAACAATCCAAATGTTCATTAACAGGTGAATGGATAACAAATTATGAAATAACAATGCAGTGGAATACTGCTCTGAAATTAAAAGGAATGAACTATTGATAGATGCAACGACATGAATGAACCTCAAAAATATGTTGAGTGAAGGAAGCCAGAGTACATACCGTATGTTATTTATATGTTGTTGTTGTTGTTGTTATGTGCCGTCGAGTCGGCCCCGACTCATAGCGACCCCTCCTTGGGTTTCCGAGGCAGTATCACTACGGAAGTAGGATTGCCCAACCTTCCTTCCGAGGAGTGGCTGGTGGGTTTGAACCGCCAGCCATCTGGTTAGCAGGCAAGTGTCTTAGCCACTATGCTACCAGAGCTCCCATGTTATTTATATAGCACTCTGAAAAGAAAAATCTCATCCGCAATGAAATATCAGAGGTTATCTGGGGCCAACATAGGAATGGAATGGGCACTAAAGAAACTGGGGGGGGGGTGATGGAAATAGTCTATGCATACCAGGAAAAGAGTATCACAGTTACCACAAGGCTGTGACAACTAATGGCCTGGGGAGTGGAGATTAAGGAGGAGGTGGACCCTACTTCTTGAGCACGTCATCCTAAGATATGAATGAACCTTTTCAGAACTGAAACAGTGTAATCAAGTCAGATTTCAGCTAAGACCAGAAGGGGGATTGTGTACACTCAGAGAAGTAGTTGTGGCTATAGGTGAATTGATTGTCATAGAGGAGCAGAGCGGGCTGGCAAGTTGGAAGTGTTTGGGAGAAAGGTGGTAAAGAACATATAGGAGTTAGGGTTGGATTTGGTAATGTACTCTGGAAAACAGAAGTAAGCCTGACAATCAATTAACACAAAGCATTGCCCTTGTGGTGGTGTCTGGAGTCACCATGTATATGAAGCATGATTAATTCTGATGGTATCCTAAGGGAGGGTGGGTGCTCATTTTGAATGCTGTGGTCTGAAATGTTTCCATTTTGCATCTCTAGGACCTAACCCTGTGTAAGGCACAGAAAAGACAGTGGGTGCTATTGGAGGAAAGAAGAGAGAATAACAACTATATTATTGATAACAATGACAAAATAGTTATTACACCCATTCTTCACTTATCGACATGGTCAACTTCCAAAGACCAGGTTGTTACGCGAAATCAGCATTATGCAAGTCAGGGGCTGCTCCCTTTCTTCAGTGCCAGTGTCTCCCACCCCCACTTGTCATCACCCATCAGGCACCACCAGCACATCTCAGCATGTGCGTGGCACAGCAGGCCCCCTCTTCCCCACCACACCTTCCCTAACACCATGGAGCCTGCAGAGGTTGGGCTGGTGGTGGTGGTGGTGGTGACTAGGGGTTGCCCGCTGCCTGCCGCCTGCCACCTCTCACTGCCCACCCTGGGTGAGGACCCTGCTCATGACCCCATAGCCTCACCTAAACCCCTTTCCCTCTTTCCCGCTTCCCGCTTCCGCCCATCAAGCTCCCTGGCACCTTCAGGCCCTTGCCCAGCCTCGCTCTGCCCCCTGTGACTGCATCGTTTTGCTGTCACCTTACACCCTCCATGGCTGGACCAAGACCTCATGGACAAATGGAAGAAGACATTCCACAGCCGTTAGGCTGCTGTCCCTTGTATGGCACAGCCACCATCCCTCATGTGGCCCAGTCGTCACCAGAACCTCTGGTATATCATTTGGAGTGGCATGCAGAGGGTGCCCTGGGCCCTGTTATGGCCCCACATGGGGCATGGACATTGGAGACACAGCCTGAGAGTTTTTTCAAAGTTGTCAGATGTGAAATGTTGGATAATGAGATAGTTGATAAGTAAGGAGTAAGTAAGGAGCTCTGGTAGCATAGTGCCTAAGGCACTTGACTGCTAACCAGGAGGCTGGCGGTTCAAACCCACCAGCCACTCCTCGGAAGGAAGGTTGGGCAATCCTACTTCCGTAGTGATAACTGCCTCGGAAACCCAAGGAGGGGTCGCTAGGAGTCAGGGCCGACTCGATGGCAAATAACAGCAACAACAACAAGTATGGAGTGGGTATATACGAGAAGTACACCATTCACTCTGATGAGAGCAAATGTAGGGCCGTGCAGGGGGCTGTGGTCCGTGCCCAAGGACTCCTGTCAGTTCCACTCATTGTATGTCCGCTAGGGCCTACTCAGGAGTGGGGCATAGAGATGAATTTCCCATGGTCTCTGCTCTTAAGCACCTCCTGGTTTGGTGGACAATTGGATGTTATCAAGTAATAGCGGCAAAGTTTTCGAAGTGCTGAAAGAAAGTGAAAGGAAGTGAGGGAGTGAGGGGCAGCGTGTTATCCCTGAGTGGTTCAAGGAAGGCTACAAGAGTCTTGAGAGAGAAGTCGTGGGTGGCAGGCCTGCATCTCCTATTAAAATGCCATTTCTTTGTCCACCCGTGAAGTGTACTGAATGCTTGATTGAAGTTCCTAGCAGCTCCAGCTAGCTAAGAGCTCTCCAGAAGATGACAGTTCTAATTAAGCCCTGGGTGACGGCACAGAAACACTTGTGTTGCGGTGCAGTTCTCCCCATCCACGTATGGGCACATGGCTGTGAATGTGCCTGAGTGGGCAACTCCATTTGCTAACCATACACGAAGCAGCTTGCTTCTGTCGTGACACACACACACACACACACACACACACACACACGCCTGGCTTGGGGTGGTCAGAGGGTTCTGAGCCTTGGGCCCATTCTCGGTGCTGACCGGCTTACCGATCCCGATCGTTGTTAATAGGCACTGACCGTCAAGCTGAGTGCTGCCGTGGCTTACAATGTGTCTTTGCTAGTCACCCTGGTGCCCTTTCAGGGTCTCTCTATTGAAATTAAGCCCAGTCTTTTCAAGTCTGCATCTTCACTTCTACAGCAAATCTGTAAGTAAGATGCTCAAGGAAGCAAGATAGAGGAGGAAGCCCAGAGACTGCAGCCCACGTGGCCCACTCCGGGTGAAGCTAACAGAGGCAGGTCCTGAGCGGCTTGCTTTTTGTGCGTAGCAGCTCTCCTCCGCCTCCCCACATAGGGCTTCTGTTAGGCCTCACTCCCTGTCTTACTTGCCCCAGGCTCAGGGGGGGTCCCGTCCTCCAGCTTCTGAGCAGCCTTTCCCCAAGTCTGGATGTCTTTCAGGTATAGCACCTGTACAGCTTCCTCCGAATTCTGGGGGACAATGAAAGTAGGGACTAGTCATATGTGAAGGCACAGGAGACTAAGGAAATTGCCCAAGATACAGAGGAAGTAAGTGGCAGAATCCAGGGCTTCTCCCTTCTAGTGGAATATTCATCGAAGCTAGAATACCATTGCTAACAATCATAAAACTATTGTGATAATATTGTTAATAACAATGGAATTATAATTATATGACTATAATTAATCCTTTAATTATGACAATACTATTATTAGTAAGAACAAAGGTGAAAAACGGTAGTAGTATTCTTTATAGAAGCTACTGTTTGTTAGGTTGCTACTCTGTGCCAAATAATTGTATTATGGACTTAATAAACCTTCGCTTGTTGAATGCCCCAACAATACCCGAGTCTCATATCATCATACCCATTTTGTGTATGAGAAAGCTGAGGCTTAGTGAGGTACAACCCCTTGTTCAAGGTCATATTGCTAGTAACTGGGATTGCTTGGACCTCAGTGTAATTCAATCTGACTCTGACCCCCATGCTGTTAGCTGTAACACCATGTGGCTCATAAGTCTATTTAAAATAACTGTTTTTACAACAGTGAATAAGGAAAATCTTGAATTTAGGTTAACAACACCACCAAGAAAAGAATCCACTGATAAGGCACACTTTGGTTTGGCAAAAACTGACAGAAAATTAGCTATGGAATAGCTTTGGTTGGTCACGGACTCAAAAGGGGCCCAGAATGTGATGTGTCTGCAGAAGGAGTTTCCACAATCGTTTGCTGCATTATCAGGAGAAGCGTGTCCAGAATTAGGGAATTGAGACCCTGTTGTGCTCAGCTCTTGGGCTCAGTTCTGGGCTGTTTAGAAGAGAACTAGCAGGATGGGGAAGGAGGAAATCCTGGGGCTGTTTAGTCTGGAGACAAGCAGATTCGTGAGGAGACACGACCACCCTTTTCAGGCCTTTGAAAGGCTGACGAGGAGGGAGCAGGTTTTGCTGTCCCATGTTCACAGAAGACTCCGAAATTAGTCACTGGGCTGGGATAAAGGAAGACAGGTTTCAGCTTCTAAGGTGGGCTTTTTCTAAAGATAATAATAAAATAACCTCTCTTACAATGGAATGAGCTACTTACTGTTTGATGGAAAGAGGTCAGCCAAGGCTGGAGGACACCTACTGGAAGCGCTCTCCTGGAGTTTACTGGGATGGGGTGGTGACTCGGTGGACCCACTCAGCTTTGATGTTTCTGGTTTTTCACTTTAAATTTTGAGTGGGGCACAACTCCGCCTTTCCAGTAGGAAGTCGGCGATATAATCAAATACACCTTTGATGTCTTCCAGTAGCAACTGGTTCTCATTGTCTCTCCCCAGGTGTCACCACTGTGCTCACCATGACCACCTTGAGTATCAGTGCCAGAAACTCCTTACCTAAAGTGGCATACGCGACGGCCATGGACTGGTTCATAGCCGTCTGTTATGCCTTTGTATTTTCTGCGCTGATTGAATTTGCCACCGTCAACTACTTCACCAAGCGGAGTTGGGCTTGGGAAGGCAAGAAGGTGCCAGAGGCCCTGGACACAAAGGTGAGCTACAGCAAGGGAGGGGCTGGGAAGCACCCCCTGAGAGAACTATATTGGGACCAGGAGTGGGCAGCCTGCAGCCTCAGGAACTTGGCAGGGCTACGTGCTGTTCACTGGGGTCGTCAATCCATTTCTCAACTGGAGTGCTTCTTGGCAATGCGGAGTGCTGGCTGGGGGCAAAGGAAAGAGGGCAGGTATCATGGAGGGTTGGTGTCTTGTGGTGGGGGATCCAACCTAAGTCTGATACTGAAAGACTCAAGGGAAACCCGTTGGTAACGAACAGAGTCACCCAGAAGAGTGGATTCCATCTTCAGCACAGAGAGCAGTCTCTAGGGCCATTTCTGCCCCCCACTTCCAAATCCATTCATGTTACAATCACCCCAAAGTGATCATCGTTCCTTCTGGGCCGTGGCTCTTTCTGCACTCTCTACCTGGAATGCTCCTTTCTTTTTCCTGTGTCTCATAAAGATCTACTCATTCTTCAAGACGTACGGAAAATGCTCCTGTCTCCATAGAGCCTTTCCTGAATCGGCTAGACAAATTTAGCTCCTTTTTTTTTGGGGGGGGGGTGCGTTCATTGCATTATAGTTATTTGTTTGCCTTCCTATTAGACTGTGGCCTTCTTGAGGGCCGGATGTGGTCTGCATCATCTTTCTAACTGTCCAGCATCCTTGCAAAGCATCTGTCTCATAGTGAAAGCTGAATAAATGTCGGTTAGATTGATGGATGGATAGGAAAGAGAAAGGAGGAGAGAAAAAACAACAAGCCAATTCTAATTAGAAGACTAAAACATGATTACAGTGAAATCAGGCTGGTGTCCCTGACTGCTTTAAGTAAGTTCAACTCTCTAGATTGAAATAAAGACTATTGTTCAATGATGTTCCAAAGAGCTGGCAGATGGGACCCCAGAAGCACTCCAGCACACTTCGAAGAATCATGGACAAGAAGAAAGGTTATGAAGATCTTCCAAAGAGAGAGGAAAGGTGGATTTCATCATTATAGAATGGTGACTCAGCAAAGTTTGAGAGCAGTACCCTCAGGGATCTGAGGGACAAATGATTTTCAACCTATAATCCCAAGTCCAGCCAAATTCAATTAAGCAGAGAGGCAAAGTAGTCATTTTCAGACCTGCGAGGACTCAGACATGTCATCTTCCATGTACCCTGCCTTAGGAAGATACCGGAGAATATGTTCTATTAAAACGAGGGAGTAAAACGTAAATGAGACAGACATGGGGTCCATCAAAGGGTATCCAACAGAGACAAAAAGTGAAGGGAAGTCCTACACTGCCAGCAACGTGGCAAGCCTGAAGAGGAAGCACTCTGGTGTGGAGCAGGAGGCTGGGGGTATTGAGGAGGGAACTACAGATATTGCTGCGATTGTACCGGAGCAGGGGGGAAGGGTGGCATAAGTGAGGGGAACCACCATTTGTACTCTTCACTGAATGACCCTTCCACTTCCTACCTTTCACAGCGAAAAGAATTGGCAGTGTGCAGAGCTGATAGCAATATAAGCATAGTATATAGAACATAGGAGTAACTATTCTGAGTGTCATCGAAAGGAATTAAAAATAGTAACCTGTGAGAAGATGGACAAAGGGCTGAGGTGCATCAGGGGAAGGGTTTCCAGGTTTTCATGACAGGCCTTTTGGTACCATTTCCTTTGAAACTATGGATTACAATTTTAAAAATTAAAAATAATAAAAACAAAATGAAAAAAATAAAGCTCTGCATTTCAAAGAGCCCTGGTGGTGCAGTGGTTAAAGCAGCAGGGTGCTAACCAAAAGGTTGGTGGTTCAAGGTGCTCCATGAGAGGAAGATGAGGCAGTTGGCTTCCATAAAGACTGACAGCCTTGGAAAGCCTGTGGGGGCACTTCTGCTCTGTGCTACAGGGGCGCTGTGAGTCCAAATCCATTCGACAGCAATGGATTTGGTTTGCACTTTGCGTCCATACAGACTGACAGCCTCGGAAGCCCTGTGGGGCAGTTCTACTCTGTCCTATCCAGTTGCTAGGCGCTGGAGTCAACCTGAAGCAGTGGGTTTTGTTTACATTTTAGAAAGAAGATATTTATTCTTAGAATTGCTTTCAAAATAATTCACAAATTCTTATCTAAATCTTGGAAACAGTCATTCTTAGACTCTTTTTCTTATCTTCAAATGTGAAAACTCTAATGTCTTGCTCTGGAGTGATATTGTATCTTATTTTATAGTGGAGATAATGCTCAATTTCTGTCCACATCTTGGAAAAGTTTAGTTTCTTATCATGGTCGGCTTTTAAAACTTTCGGGGGCGTTTTCACTACAAATTAGGTCACCCTTTGGAGTTTTCCCCGTGAGCTGAAAACGTTCAATGTAGGTCCTCTTTTACCCATAACCTAGTGACCCTCCCACCTGTTCTGCCATAGGCCTAAGTGCCCTGCCAGCATGCTCGATAACTGAAGAACTGATCAAAGCAGAAACAGCACTCGCGTCTGGGATGTGTGTGGGACACTGAGCTCACCCCCACAGGACCCCAGCATTCAGGAGTGACAGTCTAAGGAGAGCAGTAAGATTACAGCTACAAGGCTGGCAGTTCAAACCCACCAGCCACTCCTCGGAAGGAAGGTGGGGCAATCTACTTCCGTAGTGATACTGCCTCGGAAACCCAAGGAGGGGTCACTAGGAGTCGGGGCCGACTGGATGGCACATAACAACAACAGACGAACTGAGCACAGCACAGGACCAAGTGCTGAGTGTCATAAGGAAGCGCAAACCTAAATGCTCCCTCCCCGTCCTTGAAACTACTTCTTCAGCTACCCTTGCAACGGGAAGGTCCTCTTCCATTCCCTTTGGCTGCATCCAGTCCTTACCTCCTCCTTTACCGCAGGTCAGCGGCTTTGTCGTTGATGCTCAGAGGCCAGATTATCTCTGTTTCTCTTCATCCTGCTCATCTTATCAGTATCCTTGTCTCTTATCCATGTTCATTACATGTACAGGATTTTTGCATTATTTACAAGTACTCCAATTCCTGCCTTTGTTCTTCACTTGGAAGACCCATTGGGCACCATAAATTAGAATTAAGTTATGGCCAGCTCTATCCAGTGAGGTCTGGGTTGTCCCACCTGCTAGGCATGGCTGCTGTTTCCACCACTGGGTGAGGAAGTTGGAAATTAACCAATCTGACTGCCTGGTATTTGGTCTAGGGTTTCCTTAGGAAGACCATGAGAGTAAATTAGCCAATAGTAGTAGCATGGTCTCAGAAGAGGCTCATAATAAATTATACTGCAGACATGTGAGGCCATATGTTCTCCAGGTCTCACCCCCATGTCTTCCTCAGTCGTTGCCCAAGTGGTGGTTTCCTCTATGGGTATTTGTGCTTTTCTCCCATCTTATTTTATATCCTTCACTGAAGGACCCCTCCACTTCCTGTCTTAACTGACACCTGATTATCAGCTGAACTGTCCCTTCTACTGCCTTCGTACTTGGTGGATGTTGTTTATCCTGACTCCTGTTCGTTCTCCAAAAGTGGAGCTCACAGCCTTTCAGTCCCGAAGACTCTGCATTCGGGCCCTTACTCCCCACTCTTTTCTATGCCACATGTCTCCTTCGAAGCTCTACTTGTTCATTTGGCTTCTCATGCACCGGGGTTTCCGGTGTTTCTTTTCTCCTTTGGCCTTTTCCTATGCATGACCTTCTTCCTGACATTGTTGCAGCCCCTCAGGACTCAGTATTCAGACCTCTTTTCCTCTGCCCAACAGTCAGAAAGATCATTTGAAATGGTAAATTAGGCATATTTTTCTCAAAATACTCTAATGGCTTCCCATCACACATAAAATCTATAGTCATTACTAGTGGCCTTCAAAGCCTTATGAGATCTGGCCGCCAGATCCATAATGTTAGCTTCTACCATCCTTATGTTTTTTGTTTTGGGGGAATTATTTTTCATTCACTCCACTCAGGGCACAGTGGCCTGTCTGATGATCTCTGAACAAGTCATTCTCATTTTAACCTAAGATGTCCTTACTCTTTTCTCTCTTGAGCAATGTTTGGTGTTGGATTGTGTGTGTGTTTGTGTGTGTGTGCTCGCTTGGTCACTTTATCCAGGTCTCTTCTTACTTTCTCAGAAAGCCCTTCTCTGACGACCCTATCTAAAATAGCCCTCCCACCACTCTCCACCCAACCCTGCTTTGTGTGTCTCCATCACACTCTCTTCGGCACCTAGTATGAGCCTCCAGTCTGCTTTCATACATTTATGTATTGACTGCATACCAGCTCTCCTGGCATGCAAGCTTCTTTGGGGCAGGAATATGTTCTGGTCACTGCTGTACCCCCAGCACCGAGCACAGTAGATACCTGTAGGTTTTTAATCAGTGAAGAACTAACGTCTGGATTGTCTTTGAATCAATGAATGATTCCCTCTGTTCTCTGTCTGCCTCTGTGCAGCTGAAACCCATGGTGGATCACTGGGGTCGCTCTTCAGCACCCCTGACCTCCTACATCGCTTCCATCTGGCTCCTCTCTAAAACGTTCCACAGTCACTGATGGTTTGTGGGTATTTTGGACCTGACCATCCTCCATCCTGCTGCTCCCTCAGCCTGGGCTTGCAATCTTTCTCTGGGTTCTAAATCAGTTCGGCCTTCTACTTCCCACAAAATGTGTTTGAAATCTTGCCTTTTCCTTTCGCCTCACTCCCAGAGAAGACGGAAGCCATTGTCAGATTTGCCTCCACTCGTCCCTCCTCAGCTGTGCTCTGGCCACTTCCTGTCCTCATAGGAAACTGGCGCAAGTGATTCCTTCTCTTCCATCTATGCTCTCTCTCCCTTCCACGGGCTTACTTGACCTCTCCAAATCTAGCATGTCCCTTCCTCTCTGGAATTCCCTCTAACCATTAGTTCTGCCTCGCTGAGTGCTTCTTGCACTCTCTCCCTTACATTTTAGTTCTCTTATTTTCCTTAACCTTCCTGAGGGCAGGGTCTCTGATTCACTGACGAATCCCACATAGCATACACACCACTGCCTTGCCCCACTTCTGAAAGCTGGGGTTCAGGCAAAGCTGGGATCCTATGTGGGGTTGTCACAGAGGCACTGGACCATGTCTGTGTGTACTCTAAGGTCTCAGCTGGGTCTCAAGTGCATTTGGGGCTCCAGTGAACCCTTTAATTAACACTGCTAGAAACGTTGATAGGAGTGCTGTCTGAGGAAAAGACTCTTGAGCTGGGCACACGTTGGTCTGCAAATGTTCACTGCCTCCTCCTCAAACCCACATATGGTAGTTTTCCAGAAGGAAAGAGGCTTGGGGAATTTGGAAGAGTCAAGTTCAGCTTTCTGGTGTGGAAATTCACCCAGGCTGAACTATAGAGTAGGGAGCTCTGGTGGCGTAGTGCCTAAGGCATTTGACTGCTAACCAGAAGGCTGGCGGTTCACCAGCCACTCCTTGGAAGGAAGGTCGGACAATCTCCTTCCGCAGAGACACTGCCTCAGAAATCCAAGGAGGGCTCCGCTATGAGTCGGAAATGACTCGACAGCAGTGAGTTTGATTTTTTGGTGAGAACTATAGAGTGTACTCTGGGTATTGGAAAGCTCAAGATTCCAGAGGTGCTAAACCTGAAATCACACCAAGAATCTACATTTGTTCCATTCAGTAAACAAACATCCTGCCGGACACTTGGCTAGGGATTTAGGAATAGAATGGCAGCTTGGTCAAAGTGAAATCCGTCTGATGTCTCCCAAATTCCAGAGCAAGGAGGAGGGCTGCAGAGCTCAGTGGGGAACTGGGGAAAGATGAGCCCCACTAGCTGCCCCTTGCTCCTCTCTTGTCCACAATCCCACTTTCGCTTTGGGTTTCTTCTTTGATGATTTAAGTCAAACATGTAGTGGCTGGTGACAATGTGTCAAGTTGGAAAGAGCGAGGAAAACGAAAAGCTACTTTTATTTTATTATTTAGAAAGGTCTGTAACTCAATCACCTCCTACTTCTCCCCCATCTATGAAGCACACAGTGCCCGCAGAGCGAAAGAAAGCGGTTCCCGTCGGAATGGTCGTTCGGGAGACTTGGTCATAACCGGCTTATGAGATGACTAAATGAGAGAACATGTGTGAGTGCTTCGAGCAAGGGCAGGGGGTGGTTCTTCCTTTCTCTTCTTTGCTTTTTTCATCTTCCCACGAAAAAAGAGATTAGTAACCATATGAGTAGGTAAGCAGGCAAACAAGTAAAGTGCGTTCTTCTCGAATAGCAAAGGCATTTAGCAGCGGGACTCTAGCCACACAAAGAATTGGCTAATTATAAATGAGGCCTGTGTAGCATTTAAAGCATTTACGAAGTTCATAGAAGCTTCTGAGTTCTGTCCTTCCACCTGTAGCAGTATGACTGTAATTGGCAAAGAGAAGGAACCATATTGTTTTTTA